CCAGGCTCTGGCTCCCAGCCTCTCAGCTCCCCTTCTCCACCCTCAACCCCACTGGAGGAAACAGGAAGCCCTCCCAAGAGGAAGGGGGATGGCTCCCTGAACCCCACCCCTCACCAGTGGTCCTCTCTCCCGGCTCTGAAAAGGCCAGAGACTGTCCTCTACCTGCCAGTGGCTCCTCTCCTGCCCTTGGCTCAGGTTCCTTTCCCGGCATCTTTCACCTTCACGCAGGGCTCCAGGGATCCCCTTGCACACTCCCTGGGCCACACCATCTACCAAGGTGCACAAGCTTCACCCACTAAGTCCGCCCCAAGCTGCCTACCCCTCTCCCACCTGGACAACCACAGCACTTGGCCTCACCCACCATGCCCACCAACAGCCCAGGCCCCACACACTAGCCTGGGCCACTTTTCCGGACCGCACATGAGGTCACTGGCCCTCAAATCCTGCCATGGAACCCCCCTTCTTCTGGAAAAGTCTTGTCTCCCCCCCAGCCCAGCGGCTGGCACTCAGATGCGCAGTTACAGCGAGGCTCTGTTAGCCAGGTGGCCCTGACAGGAGTTACTCTTCTTTCCCAGCCTTGATTTCCATCTAGAAAATGAGGATAACAAGAGCTCCTCTCTCATGGACTAAAGGAGGAAGGTCAGGGCATGCCTCTTGGTGTCAGTAGCCCACCCTGGCGCTGCCAGATGCTGGGGCCTCACCCCACCCCTGGCTGGAGCCCAACCACAGCGACATGGATGCTGATGCCGGGAGGTGCCAGCCAGGGCTGCACATGCTCTTTGCTCCCAGACGCCGTCCCTCACATGGACTGGCAGGTCCATTCTGCAGGTGGGGAAGCAGAGGCCCAGAAAATAGGTGCATTCTGCCTGCCAATCCAGGCCGGGAGCTGGCCGCAGGGCAACGGGCTACCGGAGAGGGCCCACTGGTCTCTGGGCAGCCATGTCTGCCGCTGTCGAAGGCCAGGAGGCCAGGCCTCTGGACTTGCTGTTCCCTCCACCGGGACTGCTCTTCCCTTGCCTGCCTACCACCCCTGCCCAGGTCTCAGCTGTCTGCCCCGACCGGCTGGCTGAAGGCAGCAGGCCCTTCCCCTCAGCCAGTTACTCCGTTTCACTTTGCGGCACAGGACTTGCTAATGGTTCTGTTACTTATTGTTCCCAAACCCGGACTCACCCCACAAGAACGGCGGTTCCGTGAAAGCAGGGCCTGGTTCTCCGCACCGCCCACCCCCCCCCCCCCAAGCCAACTCCAGGGCCCAGTACTTGTGAATGAGTGAGTAAACGAACAGGTCCAGCAGGGCCCGCTCCTTCACCTCATCCTCACTCTCCCACACTCTCTGCCGGAGTGCACACTCACACCCACCCACTCAGCGGAGGGAGCAGAGGCTCCGGAAAGCCAGGAGCTGTAGCCAGGATCCCACAGCAAGAGGACCAGGTTGTGCTGTCCGGCAGGACCCTCCCAGCTGGTTGTCGCTGTGTCTCCCTGAGGATCCCCGCCCAGGCATCACCCCGTCCCCCCCACAGCCACCCATGCTGGCAGCCAGGACGGGAGTCCCCAGTCCCTCCTCCTCCCCAGCTCAGGAGCCAGAGAACAGGCTCCTGACAGTGTCAGCAGGGCCTGGGCTGAAAGCTCAGTGCATGCGAACTCCAAAGAAAACATGAATCACTCACCGTTTATCAGTTCAAAGCAGGCCTGCAATTACCAGGGGCTGGGCTCTCCCCTCCTCCGGGATAATTATACACGTCTTAATGCAATTACGGGCCCTACTTTTTATATTAGACAGGAGAGAGACCCAGCTGAAGAAGCTACTATCCAAACTCCAGGCTGGCCACGGGCCCACACCCTCTTCCCCCCAACAGGGGCTGCTGGGAAGGAACTGGCCGGGGTGGTGGAACTGCCAGCTAGGGAAGGGGGATTCCAAGTCCAGGGCTGGGTCCCTCACGCCCACCATCTCACAAGATCCAGCGGACACGATCAGGTCACCTCCCCTATCTTAGAGTTACAGAGCCCAGGGCTTACACGGACCCAAGGTCACCCAGCAGGACAGGAGAAAATCCCACGCTCCTACAGAAACATGAATGGCCAGCTGACCTTCTGGGGCTCGTGTCCCCCAGATCTCTGGCCCGCCCAGGGAAAAGTACATTCGTTCCAAGGCCGGGCCTCGGTGCTGGGGAGGACCGCGCTGAACTGAGGGATGGGAGCAGAACGATGCTGGGAGGGAACAGAACTGGCCACTGTGGTCTGGGGAGGCTCCTCCAAGGGGCCTTTCCACCTGTTCCAAGAGGACCAGAGGAGCTATCTCAGGTGTCAGAACAGCGAGAGCCCAAGGGGGCACTGGAGCCCGCTGGACCATGCAGAGGGGGCAGTGGGCTATGCAGGGGCCCGGTGTGAACCGGCTGGGTAGGGAGAAGCTGCACTGGTCCTGGGTGTGCCAACCAGGGGCTAGCCAGGCAGAGAGAGGCCAGGACGGAGGCAGATGGGGCCACCGCACAGTGGGCTCCACTCCTTAACGGGATGGGCTTGGCTGCCCAGCAGAGCGTGCAGAGAGCAACATCCCCTTCCCTCTCCAGGGCCCGGCAGCCAACACCACTCCCTAGCCTGAGAAACAAAGGCCCTCAGAGCCCTCTTCACAGAAGGACAGCCCGATCTCCATGCCCTCCCACTCTGGATCATTCTGGGACTCGGGCAGGTTGGGACATGGGGGGCGGGGCGAGACAGGGCCATCCTGCCCACGGGTACCCCATTTAGCACCAGGGCAGAGAGCTGCACCGTCACCAACCTACCCCCAAAAGGGGCCCTCGGACGTGGTCTCAAGCCGTCCTGCTCTCCCACCAGGCAAGTCCTATGGGACTGGGATCCGGAAGCACTGGAGTCCTCCTCAGGAAAGGTGCCCAGCACTCAGGGCTCCCCTGGGGTGCCCTTCCCTCCTGGCCAGCTGCTCTAGACTCAGGGACCTTCCTGACGGATCAGAACGTACAGGTGATAATCTGGGGGTGCAGAAGCCCAGCCAAGGGCTGCCTGCTTTGTCCACGGTGCTTCATTTGTCCCCCACCCCCAAGCACACACCTCAGCCGCAGAGGCTGGCCAGACCTCCACCTCCACCTCCACCTCCACCGTCCCTTCTGCCTGAAACGCCCTTCCTAGGCCTCCCTGTGCCACCCTCCCGGGCTGATTTGCACCCTGGCTCCGAAAGGGAATCGCTGGGTTCCTCATCTGCCTCTGGCATGAGACTGGGTGCTCCTCGAGGGCTGGGCAGAGTCTTGGCTGCCTGGCACGGCACCTGGTGTCTCCTGCACACCCCAAACCAGCAGGGAGCAGGGAAGACCCGGGGAGTAAGCCCCGAGGGCCAGAAGGGCAGAGACTGAGCCCCACCCCCACCCCCACCCCCCCAGGCCCAGAGAACGGGGCGCAGCTTGGAAAGAGGTGGAGCCGGGCGCCGCGGGGGCCGGCGGGGCGGGGGGCGGGGGGCGGGGGCCGGGGGCCAGCGGCGGCCCGTCCCCCCAGCACACACACCCCTTTCTTTCAAGGGGCGTGGCCCCAGCACCCCAAGATGCGCCAGGAGCAGCTTCCAGCTCCCCGCGGCCGCCGGAGCGCGGGTCAGCACCGGGCGGGGTCTCGGCCGCAGGGGCCCCTGGAGCCCCGCGCCCCTTCCCCGGGCCGGCCCCGGAGCGGCCCCGCCGCCCCCGCTGCGCCGCGCACAGGCCCGGGGCGGTCCGGGACGCCATCGGCGGCCTCGGAGGGCGGCGGGCTGACCCCGCGGCGGCCCCGGGAGGGGAGGCTCGCGAGGCCCGAGGCCCGAGGCGCGCGGCGGCCTCCCGGCGGCCTCCCGGCGGCCTCCCGGCGGCCCCGCACCGCCCCGCCCAGCCCGGGCCCGCTCGCACCCCGCGCCCGGGGGCCGCCCCGCGGCTCGCCCTGCTCGGCCCCGCTCGGCCTGCTCGGCCCGGCCCCGCCGGCGGCCGGAGGTCGGAGGTCGGAGTCCGCGGGCACCCGGGCCCTCCCGCCGGGGCCGCCGCAAACTTTCTCCGCCGCCCGGGGGGGGGGGGGGCAGCGCCGTCCCCGCCCCGCCCCCCGCCGCCCGGAGCGCTCTGCCCGCGGGGCTCGGCCCGCCCGGGAAGGAGGCCGGCGCGGGGCCCGGGCCGCGGTCCGAGCCCGACCCGGCGGACACACGGCGGGCCCCGCGCCGGCGCCACGGCCGCGCCCGGACACGCGGGGCCGCAGGGACACGCGGGGCCGCCGACACGCGCGCCGCAGGCCCCCGCGCACGCCCCCGCCCGCCCGGCCGCACGCCCGCGCCCCCCCCCCCGGGCGCCCCCGCCCGCCCGCCCCGCCCCCCCCGGGCGCCCCGCTCGGCCCTCGCCGCGCCGCGGGGGAAAGTTGCGCCCCTACTCACGGGCTGCCCCGGGGCGCGCCCCGCCGCCGGCCATCGCCGCGCCCCGCCGCCCCGCCGCCGCCGCCCGCCCCGCCGCGGGGCCGCCGAAGCCGCGCAGGCCGCCCAGGCCGAGGCCGCCGCGCCCGGGCTCCGCACCGTGGCCGCGCCGCCACTGCCCAGCATGAATGGGGCGCCGAGCGCCGTGCGGCTGCGGACCGGCCTCGCTCTCGCCGCCCGCGGAGCGCCGCGCCGCGCGCATGCGCCGCCCGGGGCCGGGGGCGGGGCCTGCGGGGGCGGGGCGGGCGCAGGGGGCGGGGCCGCCGGCCGCCTCCAGAGGGCGCTCTGCCCCGCGCCGCGCGCCGGCCGGGGCCCACCGCGCGTCTTCAAAGGGCGATACCCGGCCCGCCTTAAGGGCTCCGCGCGGGGGCCGCGGCGGAGGGGCCGCGGCGGAGCGTCCCCGGGGAGCCCCGAGGTTCGGGCCCGCCCTGAGCCCGCGTCCCCGGGGACAGGCCTGCCCCCTGGGCGCGCGGCCCCGGAGCAGGGCCTCCGTTCCCGGACGGGCCAACTGAGGCCCGAGCAAGGCAGGTGCCTCGCCCCGGGTGGGCGGCGCTGCGGGTCCGCCCCGGGCCCTCCGCTACCGCGCGTGAGGCGGGCCGGGCGCCCCCTGCTGGCTGGGCCGGGCCCCGCACACGCCCCCCGCGGCGCGGTCGCAGGCGGGGCCCGACCTGGGGGCGTGGAGGTCGCCAACCCCGCGGAGTCCGGGACGCGGCGGGGCGTGCGGCGGGGCGTGCGGCGGGGCGGGGGTGCGGCTCCCGGGACTGTGCTTGCGCAGCGCTCGCCCCGCGGACGCGGCCCGGGGAGGGCGGGGGGCGCGGCGGGGGCGCGGCGGGGGCGCGGCGGGGGCGGGGCGGGGGCGCGGCGGGGGCCACCGAGGGGCCCTAACGGCGGGCGCGTGAGCCCCGCGTCGCCCTCCTGGGGCGCTGCTGGGAAGAGCTCGCGGCCGGCAGCTGGCAGGGCCTGGGGCGCTCGCCTGCACCGCTCCGCGCGCACAGCCCCTCTCCCAGCCCGAGCCGCCTCTTCCTCCGCCTCCGCCTCCGGCCCGGCCCTTCCTTCGCGCGCCCGCTCGGGACACCGGGGAGCGCGCCCCTCCGCGGTCGGCCCGCGAGGCGGGGCTGCTGTCGCTGCTCTGGGGTCCGCTGTCCTGCTGAGGACTCGGGCCACCGCGGCCGCTGCATCAGGCTCGGGTGACCCCGGGGCCGGCTCCAGCCGCGCGCTGAGCCCGAGCGCTGGGCTGAGGGGTCGCTCCGTGGTGCACGGGAGCTTGCTAGAACCAGAAGAAACAGCCTCCCCAAGGAGTGAGCGCGCGGGGCAGCAGCCCCCAACCGCGCCCACGCTTGCCACTGTCGCTGTTGGCGTCTGCCTACCTGGCAGTCCACACCGGTGCTTCGCTGTGGCTTTAACTGGCGTGTTCTCAACGGCCGCCAGCATCCTCAAAAGTCCTATTCACTGTTTTATTATCCAGCAAGCACTAACGGGGCGCTGACAACACGGGGTTCTGCTACGTGTAACAGACAGGTAAACTGAGGCGGGAGCGGTGAAGTGACCCGCCGGGGTTCCCCAGCTTGCAGGAGGCAAACCCTTAAGGCCCGGAGAGCGGTCCGTCCTGACAGCCTTCCCAGCCGCACACACCTGGGTGCAGGCCCTGGCAGGTTCACACGCAGCAGTCCTGTCTGCTCTGAGAGCCTCACCTTCTTCCTGCACGGAATGGATGTGGGCAGAGCTGCAGTGAGGCATGAGGATGAACACTGCACCAGGCCTGAGAAAATGTCTATTCCTGCTTTGTGTTGTGTGCCCGCTGGCTTCAGGGCCACCCCCAGCTCTCTGGCTGCTCTGTTGCCATCCTGTCCTCCCCAGGGCCACTGGGGAAGGCACTGCTCAAGGGTCTTCTCACTCTGCTCCATAGTTCCCCAAGATCCATGGCCTCTCCTTTGGGGAGCAGCCCCCATGTCCAAATGTTTCCAGAGAAGCTCAAGAAGGCCACTGGGCTCTGGGTGGCAGCCAAACTCATGGTTAACCCTGCACCCCCCCCAACACACCCCACAGTTGCCCAACCAGGAGCCCCAGCACTCTCCCCGACACTGCATCCCCGCCCCCACGCCCCCACGCCCCCTGCTTCCTGCAGCCCCATGGATTCTCTCCAGTGTTATTCCAGATCACACCACTTCCATCCGTCCCACTCCACCCCATTCCTGCTCATGTCACCTTTCTCTCTACTCCCCAAACCATGGCAGCAAGATCTGTTCAAGATGGAAATCCGATTATGTAACGCAGGTGGATTGGGCCGGACCTTCTGTTCCAGGTGGATCCCAGGCCCCAGAGCCCTGAAGAAAACTGCAATACTGTCAGAAAACGATAGGGTGAGGAAAGGATTTCTTCAACAAGATGTCGAAAAGAAATAAATAAAGGAATATTTGGATCAGTTTGACCACCTTAAAGTCAGTCATTTTTGTTACTAAAGGTTACGAGAGAGGAAATGGCAAGGCGAGCCAGGATGTAGGAAAAAGTTCTTTGCAAACCCAAGTACATACTTGACGAAAGCTGCGGACCTAGGATATAAAAGGAGCCCCCAAGAGTCCGTAAAGCAAAAGGCAACTATCCGCAGGAACGTGGGGAGAGGACCCCCACAGGCAGTTTGTTGAAGAGACAACGGCAAGTAACTGTTGCTGGGACGAGCCCTGTGCAGTGGGTTCCACACCCTGGGGCTCCCGTCGGCCTTGGCCACACCCCTGCCGAAGCCCAGCTCAGAGCTAAGGCCCGGAGCCTCCAGTGCAGACGGGAGGGGAGAAGGAGAGGCAGAGTGGGAGTGCCCCAGGGGCTGTAGTCGTTGCTCTCATCCCACATCACGTGGGGGGATGAGTCTGCAGGGCTGCTGGGCTCTACCTCTCTGGGTTTCCTCTGTAGGTTTTGCTTCTGTTTGCCGATGCAGTTCAGGAGCGCATGGAGTTGTTGGACAGTAGCGCACAATTTGTGAGAACGCAGTTCTGATCTGGGGCGTTGGGTGAGGAGGCCCTCTCGGTACCTTCCAGCGTCCCTGTCACTGGACCACCTCCAGGGGCTGCTTCTGCATTTTGGCAGCTCAGAGCTTCGTACAGGGGTAGACTCAAGAGTGCCTTCCCTCCCTGAGGCAGGCCCCCACAGCTGATGGGTGAGGAGGAGTCTCGGGGGAGCACAGTGGGTCCCTTGAGGTATGACCACTGATACCCGGCCCTGAGTCACCCTGACTCCTGCCTGTCCTTCCCCCCTACCTCAGAAACCAAATATTTCTTTATTTTGATAGATAGTTAGATGATAAATGATAGATAGATAGATAGATAGATAGATAGATAGATAGATAGATAGATAATAGATAGATGACAGATAATTTTTTAAAAATTTAGGGGTAGCTAGGTGGTTCAGTTGGTTGAGCATCACACTCTTGGTTGTGGATCTCAGGGTCACAGGATCAAGCCCCACATCAGGCTCCCTGCTTAGTGGGGTGTCTGCTGGAGATTCTCTCTCTCTCTTTCTCTCTCTCCCTGCCCTTTCTACCCCCAAATGAATAAACATGTCTTTAAAAAAAATTTTTTTTTAAGTAGGCTCCATGCCCAACATGGGGCTTGAACTCAAGACTCTGAGATCAAGAGTCACATGCTCTACCAACTGAGCCAGCCAGGTGCCCCCAAATATTTCTAACCCAACCGTTTCTTACCTCCCCCATTCCTGCCATCTTCTGCCTTGAGCATATGGGGACCCTCTGGGTCAATAGTTCCTACCCGGCCCCTCCCCACTTGGCTCTCCATGCTGTGGTCCAGAGGGATCTCAGGGAGGAGAGACGGTAGGAACTTTTCTCTGCTCAGGACCTCAAGGAGATTCCTTCCACACCCAGAACACCTTGCCCCCCATCCCCATGGTCTGTGCAGGTATACAGGTGTATATGCATACATGCATACATACTGGGGGCAGGCACAGAGCAAGTGCCCCCTGGGGGTTCCTTGACACCTGGAGGGCACCCACCCTGCCCTGGCCCCGAGCATGCAGCACTGTGGGTCATCTTGCTGTGGGTAGGTGCTATTAGACTCGGCCCACTGGCAGCTGCTGTGGGCTCAGGGGGTGAGCAGCAGTTGCTGTCATATTTATTCTGGGAAGCCTTTTCTGGCCACTGGGTATAGAGGGGACTGGGAGCCCAGTGTGGATGTGTGGAAGTCTGTCAAGGGACCAGAGAAAAAATGATGCCCATGGAGGGGTGAGCACAGAGCCATCTCCACACTCTATGCCTTTGGTCCCCTAGACAAGAGAGGGTTCAGCCCCAGAACAGACATACATGCTGAAGAGAAGCCTGCTGGGAGCCAACTGTAGCCTCCTTGGGCTTACCCAGCCCACTCCCCTCCCACCCTGCCTTTAGCAGTCAGGCTCTGTATAGCAGGAGGCAGACCCCCAACTGGGCTTAAGCTCTAAGAGACACGTGTTGGCTCAGGTGAGCATCCTTTGAGCATGTGTAGGTCCTAGGCACAGCATGGCCATTGGGCCCTGGAGCTCTCTCCCCATGTGCGGTCTCTGCTGGCTACCAGCCTGGTTCACACCCACCACACAGGCCTTCTGAGCGGTAGCCTCAGCAGCTCTAGGCACCTCCCATAGTTCCAAGAAAATTCCCAGAATTGGGGCTCAGTGAAATGAGCTCACCATGTGGCTCCTTCGAACCAGTCATTGTGGGCTGGTGGTAGAATATGGCAGGGGGAGGCTGGTATCAGGGACCCCTCCCGAGCTGGGGGCTGCACTGGGAAATCCCTGTGTAGTTATCAAAATAAGCAGGCCTGGGTGCAGGGCAGGCGAGGCATTCAGAACCCTGACTGCTTCTCCCTGTGTGCCTGGCATTGTTGCCGTGCTGAGAGTTTTATTCCAAAGACGTCTTCATGCCTCCGGCCACTCCCCATGCTGTGCCCTTGACCAAGAGTGCCCCTACCTGCCCTGTTCATGGCCCAAACTCCCTTGTCCCTCCTCCAGGAAACCCCCTGCCCACACTTCCTATCCCTGTGTGACAGCCATGACCAGTTTGGGTTCAGGTCTGTCACCAGCCCTCCCCCTGCCCCTGGCTTTGGGGATGCAGCCAGGTCACTGTGCACTACTTTGCACAGAAGACACAATGGCAGAGCCCCTGCCCACCGCTTTGCAGACATGTCCCAAGAGCACTGGAGGGGTTGGTTCAGCATCACCTTGTTCTGGGATTCAGGTGTATTCTGAGGGCCGAGTCGGTGATGGGTGTGAACAGTGAGCAGGCTGAGTCTGGGAACTGGTGAGGGCTGGGTGGGTGGTGAGCTGGAGCGCAGCTATAGGGCAAGCATTGAACGAACAAGACCACCAGCAACAAGAGTCCAGCCAGCAGCCCTTCTGTTTGAGATATCTGACTAGGTCTGTATCCCACAGCACATGCCACCCTCCAGGAAGCCCAGACTGGGTGCTTGTCCCTCTGCGGGCTCATGGCCACGTGGCAGATGATGTCCCAAGCCTGGTATTCCCTCCAGGGCTCTGGCCTCTGGAAAAGCCATCCTGCTGCCATCTCTGTAGTGCTAAGAGGCCCTGTACTCTGTAGCCCCTGGGGATCAGGGAAGCAGCCCAGATTTTCTTGTTGCATTAAAAAGCCCTGGGCTGAAGGGGAGAAGCTGGCCTGCCTTCCCTGACACACACCCAGCAGCAATGGGGCAGTTCCCTCTTTGCCCGCCTGTGTGGGGCCAGAGGAGGCCAGTTATGAAACCAAACATAGAGATACGACCCAGAGTATCAGCACATGCCCCCCAAAGGTATAGGACCCAATCAAAAGTTACCATTATACCAAGTACCAGGGAACTCTCAGCTTGCTAGAGAATACACAGTCAACAGATGCCAGCACCAGAGTGACAATGGATGCTGGAATTATCTGAGAAGAATTGAAATTAACACTATAAAGAACCAAATTGGGGATCCCTGGGTGGCACAGCGGTTTGGCGCCTGCCTTTGGCCCAGGGCGCGATCCTGAAGACCCGGGATTGAATCCCACGTCGGGCTCCCGGTGCATGGAGCCTCTGCCTGTGTCTCTGCCTCTCTCTCTCTCTCTCTCTCTCTGTGTGTGTGTGTGTGTGTGACTATCATAAATAAGTAAAAATATATTTAAAAAAAAAAGAACCAAATTGAGATTTCATACTTTAAAAAAGTACAATAATTAGATTAAAAGGGATAATGGATGGCTGCACAGCAGAACAGGAGGGAAAGAGGAAAGAATCAGTGAACTTGAAGATAGAACAATAGCAATGATCCCGTCCAAAAAAATAGAATAGACTGGGATGGAGGCTCAGAGCCTCAGGAACCTGTGCAAAATAACAAAATATCTCACATCTGTGCCATCAAATTCCCAGGAGGAGAGGAGACAAGGAGGTGGGCTGGGGAGACTGAAAAAAAAATTAGGCAAATAATGGCTG